GAGTCCCCCAGGGAGCCACCAGCAGTGAGATTCACAGACAAGACCTCCTGAAGTCAAACGGCATTGCGCCTTTGCTACCAGGGTTGGGAGCGCTGCCAGGAATGAACTTTTGATTGATGCTCTGTATATGATTGATTAGACCGCAAACTTTGTGCACTTACATGTTAACTGGTAGATTTTTGTCCAGCACAGATGCAAATGTGTGTGTGTGTGTTTTTCGGTAGAAAAGATAATTGCAAAAGTTACAGTTATATTGCAATATTGAATATTACTTTATTTTCTCTAAGTTAACCAAATTTCAGAATGCCACCCCCAACTAACTGTATAAATCTCTGTTCCTCAGATGATAATAGAATCAGTTTTATGGTTCCCTAAATAATAGGTTAGGTACATATTTGACATATATGCAATCTGTCAAATTTGAATGAGTCATGTTTTTTTAAAATATTTTTTATTGATTTTTTAGAGAAGGAGGGAGAGGAATAGAGAGTTAGAAACATCGATTAGAGAGATCGACCAGCTGCCTCCTGCACCCCCCCCAGTGGGATGTGCCCGCAACCAAGGCACATGCCCTTGACCAGAATCGAACCTGGGACCCTTGAGTCCACAGGCCGACTCTCTATCCACTGAGCCAAACCGGTTCGGCTGAATGAGTCATGTTTTTAAAATTTTTATTTATTTTTTAAATTCTTACTCAATATTTTTTCCCATTGACAGTGGGATGGAGGTGGGGAGGCAAGAGAGATGAGAGAAAGAGAGAGAGAGAAAGAGAGAGAGAGAGAGAGAGAGAGAGAGAGAGAGAGAGAGAGAGAGAGAGAGAAGAGAGAGAGAGAAACATACATAAATGAGAGAGAGAAAAAAGAGAGATGCATCGACTCATTGCCACCCACATGCGCCCCATCAGGGTCAGGATCAAACCTGCAAAACAGGTACTGCTGTTGACTGGAAGTTAAAACTAAGACCCTTTGGTGTGAGGGCCTACATTCTGACCATTGAGCCACGCTGGCCAGGGCTGAATGAGTCATGTTTCTAGCTTCTTAAATATGATAATCTAATGTCTCATTTTGAAAAACACAAATCCAAAGTCCAGCAATTCCTGCATTGCATTTTTCTCTCAAAGGTCAAGTGCCATTAAATTGGATACGTTTTATTTTGTATTTATTTATTTATATATTTATTTTAATATATTTTTATTGATTTCAGTAGGAGAGAGAGATAGAAACATTAATGATGAGAAAGAATCATTGATTGGCTGCCTCACACTGGTGATCAAGCCCACAACCCGGGCATGTGCCCTTGACTGGAATCGAACCCTGAACCCTTCAGCCACAGGCCGATGCCTCTATCCACCAAGCCAAACCGGTTTCGGCAATTTTTAAAAATTTTAAGTAATAAAGAGGGTAGTGTTTTTGATTCACATAACTTAAAAGTCAAGAGTATCTGGTTTCAGGCATGGATGGATGTAGATGATCAAATAATGC